CTTCTTCAACCACAGTAATACTCTTCGTGTTTACCACTTTCTTGTTACCACCTGGAAGGGTGTAGACTTGACGTTTCAGGATCTTGCCATTCTGAAAAAGAATCATGTAATGAAATAGTAAGGAAAATTCACTGGACTGTTGCATTACTAAGTACCGTTATCTCTTCCACTTCCATACCGCTTAGCAAGTATTTTCGGCCACCATAGCGCATGGTTTGGTTCAAGTTTTGTAAACACAATTGGGCAGTACCTGAAATTATCGTCTGGCATCAAATCGATCATGGAACTAATTTTTAATGAACCAGAAGCAGCCCAAGATCTTAAATCCAGGGGGACCCACCATGATATGCTCTTCTGTGATCATCAGCATTTTCAGCGAGATAGTTAATCAAATAAGGTCGTAGAGCTAGGGAACTTTCGAAGTAAGCAGTGAGTATTGAAAAAAGTCGCCATCCTCGAATCGAACTGTCGGGCCTGAAATATTTTATCAGTGCTGTGGCAAAAGGTCAAACGGCTATTTGAACAATGAAATATACGGTGAAATTGGAGGCTCAAATCAAATTGTAAACAAGTTGATAACAAAACAATTCTTTGTTTAATCGTAGTGGGAGACGGTCCGGGCATATGACAAGACAATCGTAATATGCCGCGCTGGTAGGCGCGCTGCGCGATGCCGTGCCCAACAGACGAGTTATTCTGTCCGACTGTTTCGATATGAGTGTCAGAGTGATGGAAAGACTCAGTATCACCTATCACAGGGGCTTGTCTTTGCTTGAATTAATAGGAGTTTCGCTTCTCCAATCGACAAAGTGATGTGCATTGAGAATTTGCCACGCATGGCCGCACGATACGCGCGCGGTGACGCGACAAATTAAGATAGTCTTGACCGTCTCCTGAGCGGTAGTATGTAAGAACAGGATATATTCTTCGTCGTATGACATGTCGTCACGCGACGGAACCTTTAAAATCGAACGATTCGTCCGGGCATTGCACTGAATTTCGGATTCACAGCCTTTCGTGGAGAATCCGTCCGGGGTTTTATTTGTTACTTGTCGCTTTACTTCATGTTCGCCTCCGCTCTATGAACCGAGTGTTTGGTACAAGCCGGAAAAATTTTGAAGAGTTTCTCGTTGTTAAAACATAGGGCTAGAGGCCGAAAAAATAAGTGTGAAATGCTAAACGGCTCTGGATCAGAGCCGAAAAAACCCTCCAAAAGGAATGTCAAATCTTCATATTTAGAGGCAGCCATGCAATAAACCGCAGACGCCAGAGGCACCTTTTTGCTGCATTTCACGCATGAAGAATGTGGTCAGCGCTCAAACGCCAGCCACTATACATTCCCTGAGATTCGAACTGCGTTCCTGACAGAGTTTCTAAGCCTCGGAAGCCGCTACCGCTAGCGCTCATGCTCCCCTAGTGCGAAAAGTGAAACATTCTAGCAGCTGTGATCTTGCGCTCCCTATATATGCGAAAATTTCCAGCTTCAAGGCAATCGCGGCGCCATTTTCAGGGCGTAGTGGCTCAAGAAAGTCTCTGGAGTCGGCATCGATGATCCAGCTTCACAACCCGTGCTTCTCCTAATAATCACTCGGGAATTCCTGTTGTTCAATAAGTGTCTGATCTGAGGAACATGTCGCGTAATCAGTTGGGATACATTAGTCTCCGGCAAAGTGGCGAATCATACGACGCGTTTTCGTCAAACAGATTTTTCACAAATTCTAAAGTTAAGCGTGTAAGAGATGTATGTGATTGGTGCGTGGCCCGCGTCCACCACTCATAGGAATCCTGCGCGCATCGGACGCGGAGTGAATCTAGGTTATCCTCATCGAGCAGCTACAATAACTTACTTGCTAGATTTGTTATTAGTGGTCTGGCGAATAATTTGGCAGTATACTTCATCTCGTAGCGCAGGATTTTTATGGCAAAGTAGTAACAAACGGTATACAGCATCTGTAATGGTTTCACCACGTCGAATAGGTTCATCTCCCATATAACGCATGATACCTAAACATTCAGTTGTAAGTTTCAGAAAGCGACATTCTTCATATGTTCACAAAATATTACTCAAGTAATAAGTAGCAGTAATAGAAAAGGTATTGTGACTTACAAAGGAAAGTTTCGCAAGCCAGCTTATCCAGCTCGTTGGAGTCAAATCGAATCAACGAATGTGAGATCGGTTTGTCAGTGAATTTTATCTTATGAGCAACGTCCTGCCACGTCCACTCTTTTCCTAAAAATCACTGAGTATTTGATTTGTTATCTTCGCGGAAAATGAATTTTAATTGCTCCGTTGCTACTATGAAGGACAGACGTGACGTGAAA